TGAAAACCAAATAGGAGATACATGGATGCACTATATAAGTTGACATGCAGTTTAATGGTTTGAAACAAGAGTAAAAAATAAAAACAAATTGGTGCAACTACTGATAGGTTAAGCTGAAAGAATTAAATGAAAGAATATCTTTTCTTCAATGTCAGTCTGGGAAAAAAGACAGAAGAAAAAATATATGGAATTAAATCATAGCATAAATGTAAAAATGGAAAATAGCAAGCCGTTCAAATGGCGAATCGTTTGCTTCCTCAGTGCATACTTAAACATGCTCAGCTTCATCACTAGTAGATGGTGCTTCCTCATTGAGACAACATGTTTCTTTCAGCGATGGCTTATGGAGAGTATGTCGAATAATCTACAAAACTTATATCGAATTTACATATGACAAAAGAAAAATTAACATAAACAAGCGTAAACTTACTTGTCTTCGCTTTCGATCGGTTATTTCGTCCTGTAATGGTTCAGGAATCCCAGCCACGTCAATGGTTGGGATAGCATCTTTCTTCAACCTTCTTTTGAGCTTGACTTACACGCTCAAATTAAGGTGAAAACAAGAATCTTCAAAATGCGCAGAACACAGACACGAGGTAGAGGAAGCCTCAAAATCCGGTCTATGTTTACGCACAAAATTTACCCATTTTCTATGTCTTTGCGGCTCTGTTTCTTTTTTAGGAAACAGATGCATCGACATTCCTTCGGTTTTTGAATCATTGGCGCAAATAATTTCATTAGGTCCGCCAGCAACACAGCGTTTTCCTCCGCGTTTCTCATTAAGATTACTAGTAGAATACGCCATGTTGATATATGTGTTCAACTTTCTACGTCACAACTCATGTTTTCCCGATCAAAAAGTTCGCAAAAAAAATGCTGAAAATCGTGACTTTGAGCGTCCGTAAAATCAGAAGAGACTAGAATTTAGAAGTTTAATTCATGCCTCAAAATTGAGGCATGAATTAAACTTCTAAATTCTAGTCTTTTCTGATCTTTTAGGCTTACTATAACTGGCTGTTGCTTATAATGGAGCTTGGTGGTATAATTGTTGTTATGATTCCAATCTTAACGGCTACGGACGTTCAAAGATTTGAAAGATTTTGGCATTTCAGTTCTTTTAGGCTTACTATAACTGGCTGTTGCTTATAATGGAGCTTGGTGGTATAATTGTTGTTATGATTCCAATCTTAACGGCTACTATTATCATGGCTTTCATGAGGGGTATAAGGGTGTGGTTTGGAGAAGTTGGAAAGGAATGAAGTACTCTCTAAAATCCACTGAAATGAAAATAAAACCATAATTACTTCAGCTCTTTTATTAGTTTAATGTATGAAATTCATAAAAACATACGTTGTTCATTTTGTAATAAACTTCTTAAATTACACTTACATTTATTACTTTAAGATAGTGTTTAAAACGTCTACTGGAGAAGGTAAAATGGGGTTGGTAAAAGTTTGTCTAAAGATACAATTCTGTTTCCAAGCGTTAGGATATTTTCCTTCATCTAACGAAAGAATCAAAATGTGGGTCAGGTATGGAGTGATGACAATAGCAGAATCTTTTAAAAGTTTGGACGATATTTTGTCTAATCCAGCACCCTTATTGCTTTTAAGTTCTAATATTTTTTGGTAAACTGTTTCATCAAAAATTGTAAGACATTGAAATGCACAATCTAACGGATTTAAGTAATAGGAGAAGTCTTTAGGACTTTCTGGAAGTTTATTTATTAATTTAGGGCCGATTTCTATGAAATATTTATTCAATAGACTAGCTATTGATTTCACATCGTAAATGTTATTGCCCATTTCATCTTTGATGGTTGTAATGGTGGTAGTTTTGTACATTTCCACTAAAGACTTGATATACATTCTTCACATTTCGTTTGGATTACTCTTGTTCATTTCAATATTTTTCTTACATAATCGAGATTTTGTAGACTTAATCGACTTATTAACTTCGTTACGCTTAACTTGATAAGCTTGGTAACCTTTTTCTGAATTTGTTTTAACGGCTCGCTTTTTTAAGTAATCACGTTGTTCATCTCAGATCTAATCTGAGTAGTTAGCGAAGGAGCATAAGAGCTTCTGACTTTCCTTGTTTTTTATTGGAGTATAAATGTCTGATACGTAATTAAAAATGTCTTTAAATTTTGCCCATAAATTATCAGGATCACGATAATTCCAAGTAGAATCCCTCAATGAGTAAAAAATATAGTTATTGAAATTATCAATGTTGCATACTTTTAGATTTCTTGATTCAACAATCTTTGGTTTTTCACGCTGCAAAGATATTTTAACTTTGGTATCTAATACATGAAAAAAGCTCTCTATGCAAGTGTTTCTTGTGTAAGCAATACAAGAGCATTTTCTTTGATAATGAAGTCGACTCATCAGTTATAATAGCAATTTCTCTGTCATTGTCCCTGATTGTTTTACATATTTTTTTCTCATTGTGTCCGCAATATATTCAATCATCTGCGTTCAACTAAACCTAGAATGTAAAATTGACCCAAGCTCGATCCCATTTGTGCTGTGCCATGTAACAAGGTCTGGATAGTCCATGATTGCTCGGTTATGGTAGCCAACAAAATACGCATTCCTTAAACAACTCTCTGTTAGTTCTCTTTAATGTTCAATACTATTGAGTGATGCAACCTCAATTTTTCTTTCGTTTTGTTCTGCTAGAATTTTACTATCTGCAATGTGCGCCTGAGATTTTGCGTGTTTTTGTATCTCATTTTGCAATGCTTTCTGTGCTAATGCCTTCTCTCCATTCTTACGCACAGAGCATGTACTCCATTCAATACTTAAGTGTATACTTTGTGAACTATATACTCCTGTAGACCCAGCAATTTCACTCTTTTGCAAATGCAGCATCTAACACTTTCATTTTCACATACAATCCATGGGTATGTCATCATAAAGTATTTGTATTGGTGTATTGACAAACAATTACGGTATGTACCTGGAGAAGTGACAGATGTTTTGCAAGGTTGGTTAAGCAAAGTACTAGCATTGTTGGTGGAATCACTCTGACCATTGTCAGTAATATCTCTTACGCTTAAATTTCAGCCTTTCAATTTCTTTTGTGAAATTTCTACGTGACCAAGCTCAGGTTAACTGCTTCTACAACAGGTTGATTCACAGAATTCAATTGATTGCTCGTTTTCTTCTTGAATAAGTGCATTACTTGAGAAAAAGCTTGTTAACTTTTTTTGAACCTTTTTCCTCTTGGCTTGTGGTTTATTCTTACTTTCAGTTTCCATTTTTATTCATAACAATTCAACTGAGAGAACGTTATATGTTTTTTATGGATTTCTACTTCTATTTACTATAGATTGACCAACAAGTACAATTATAAGATCGCAAGATAATACTAGTTATAACATTTTTCGTTTGTATTTAGTTAAATTTAATAACAACATAATGAGGACAATTTATACTTTTATAGTTTATACCAGGGGTGGATCCAGCTACGTATATGAGCTTAGGCACAATGTCGCACCGTTAGCGCGACTTTTCTAGGGAGGTTCAGAAGCATGTCCCCCCGGTAAAATTTTAAAATTGGATTGCGAAAAACGATATTTCCTGTGTTTTTGAAGTTGGTCTTCTAAAGTATTTATTACTGGAATGAGCTAACATTCTTGCTCATAAATTATTGATTTTTGACCGTTTCGCTCAATATCAGAGCTCATCAGCATGCCTAGGAAGCTCGCAGAAAATTATGCTTTGAGGGCTTCCGACATGGACGGCCTAGTTCATTACAACCTTATCCTAAAAAAATTCTTTACGCTTCATCAACTTTTACATGGAATTTCATTTTATAATGGTCTAGTTATACCGATATGCTGATTATTATGCAAACAATTTTATGTCAATTTATCAAATGAAGTTGTCAACAAAAAAAAGCAGAAAAATGTTTGTAGATGTTGATCGTCCAGGTAAGTAAAGTCCTGAGAACGACTGTTTGTGTAAATATTTACTGAGGTTAGCGGAAGTCATCTTTACAGTCAAGAGTTTAAACAAGGCTTGAAGAACTGTAACTCCGAACTAGAAAGCTAGTTCAATTCTTCTTTTGTCTTTTGCAAAAAGATCTATATTCTTTTCTATATCTGGATTAATGTCCTGATGAATATACAATAAAGCAAGAACATTTAACCAGTCAGCAGCCATAGTAATTCTTGTATAGCTCTTTAATCTTCGAAAAGCTGAGAACGACCTCTCACACTCAAGTAAATGACTCAGAGCTGTCTGATGTTTTACAGTCTGTTGAACCACTCAGACTAGCTTCAAATTAGAATGAATTATAGAGATCATAAATTTGTTAACTCCACTAAAGGAAGCTCCAGAAAACCTTTCGATCGGTTTGAAATAGAAGCTACAGACGTGCAAATAAACAAAGTAGAAACTAAAATGGTGTGATTTGAAAAAAAGCTGCTAAATTAGATTTGCATTTATGAAGATTTTTATGATTTCGTGCCAATGCCATGTAATCGTTCAAGCGATTCCAAATTTTTTATCCTTGTTCAATTTCTTTCTTCTTTCATGTAAACAGGGACTTAATTACTCTCGACACTCAGCACTTACTCTCAATTCTTATCCTTACGTTCCAATTTTAGATAAATCTAAAAGATAAACCGTCACCTTTTAGATAAATTTACGTATTTGAAGGCAGCATAATCACATATCAATTTTCCAACAGGTACATGTCCTTCAGAAATTACCAGTTTGAAAGAATGATACGTGTGACAACGAATGAAAGGAAATATAGATATTGATTTTGTACATCGCAGCGTCCTGTACAAAAACATTAGCTTGTAAAGAAATGGGAAAATTCACCTAAAAATTATGTGCAGTTCAGAATCACCACCGGGTATTTTTCATACTAAGGTCTATATATCTAACTTGTAATGGAAGTAATATGAAACAATTAATGCTTAATATATGTAAACGACTTTGTAGGAATTTTTTTTCCCCTCTTCACACAGGAAAAAACTCTTATCGGTGCCAAAATTTTATTACTTACATTATAAAGCTAATACAGTAGTGGTCATTGCTTATAACTTAATATATAAATAAATACGTCAACTTAATACAATAATTAAATACACTAAAGTTAAGCGTGATAAATATTCAATAAACGTAATAGTAAATTAGAAAAGAAGTTCAATAAAGCTGTAATGTCTATGTGTAGCAAGTTGGTTCAATAAGATTAGTAGTATTAGTAAATTTAAAGTCATGATAACCAATGATGTATCCACTTAAATATGCATTGCAACTTTTTGCAAGTTGCTTTATATCATCAATTGACAATACTTTGTCCCAAATATATACAGCATCAATTGTTCCTTTAAAAGAGTTACGATTCTGAAATCCTCCATCAAGAGAGTCTTGATCCTGTCCAATCACCCATACTCCTCCTGCTAAAAGTGTTCGGTTTTCTGCAACAATTGTTGAATACTTTTGCTCACCGTCTTTGTAAACTATCATTTGTCCATCAACCTTTTGCCACGTGATCATAATATGATATTGCTTTCCATCAAATATATCACCAATATGACCACTTCTATTGAGTTTTTAAAAGGTTTTAAAAAGAATTAAACGATCGCAAATGACTCATGAAGTATGACAAAGTCTATTTTTGCGTCTTAAAGACTTCGTTTAACATTTCAACTAAGTATAATGGTGAAATGTAACACATATATACCTGAAAGAATCAAAAAAATAAATGGATATATTTTTTTTTATGAATAAAATCACAGGAGCGTTTGCATGGACTTTTTCTTTTCCTTGAAATGCATGAGACACTACAGCTGGATGTCTAGTCTCATAATAAACATCGTCATATATTGTAATCCAGACTGATATTGAAAAAGCATTGAATTGTGTGGAGGAATTAATATATTTTCCATATTGACTTGTATTGTTGCCATTATACTTGCTTGCCCTTCGTGGACCTAAACAAAATAACTCTTAAATCGAAAATGCAACCAAATTTAATAATAAATTCATAAATAAATCACACACTTACGTAGAAAGCATGATTGCAAATGATTATTTATACATATTATATGTTTTCATACTTAACTAGTTCCAAGGTTAAGTTTTCAATAAGGCGTCTGTATTGAAAAATTGATGGAAGAAGAAAGAAAAATCTTGTTCCGTCAATATAAAAAAGTACTTAACTAGGTGAATGAGTACCATTTTAAAGTTCTTCTACATTGATGATTTTTTAAATATAGACAAAAAACAGATGATAGCAGGCTCATGTAAATAGCCGGCTAAAATACGTGAAAATATGTTTTTCGATAAGATAGTTTCATTAAATTAGAATAGTGTTATCGGCAATATCACAAAGAACTAAAATTTTTTTCATTCAAATAAGAAAACCATTTTTATGTTTTTGCAAAATAAATATAATTGATGTTGGTGATTACTCGAAAAATTATCTGCATTTTTAGCTATGTTGTTTATGATACATTAGTTCAAATTCCAGACGTTTAAAATCAGATAGACGTTCCCAAAAGTTCCACTTTAATACAATTATACAGTCCTCTTTGCTCTGTAAAAATCCTGGAGCAATTTTCAAAGACAGACCAGTAAACACTTCACCAGTGTATGCCTAGGTCGCAAAAGGGAATGGTAAAAGCTTGTGAGGAATTAGGAATAGTGACCTGTCATTTTTTGCATGGCAGAAAAACTATTTAAAATGCATAAATTTTAATAAAATTAAAACTACAAACATAGAAATTTTAACACATCATACATTATGATTGTTCGTTTAGTATGTTAATATTATTAAATAACTCATGAACGTTATCTCTGTCATATTTTAACGCGATGGTCATTATGAAGAGCAAGTGTGTATGAAACTGTAAAAATATAAAACCCCGCGACTGTTATTTAATTTGGCTGAGAAAAGGCTCTTGAGCTAAAAGACGTATAGGGCAATATATTGCGTATCATAAACAACAATGAAAACAATTACACTTACCGAATTCACATAAATCTCCTGCATATAGCCATGGACATTGACATTTGTAAGTGTCTGATTTTGGTCCATCTTTTACATCAAGTGTCGTCCAGCCTCCATTTTACATTTTTTGCTTATTACTTGGAACCTAGAAGAATACGTATTTAGCTTCAGCTTGAAAACTTACAGGTAATGTAAAGCCTTAATTATATTTGAAGGCATACGAAACAGTTTAAGACAAGCTGATTATACTGAATTGTTTTAGACGAGTTTACTTCAAGACAGTTTACTTGGATTCATTAACCAAAAATAACTCAACTGATGTAACTACTGAAGGAAGTCAAAATAAAGGTACAACTATTCTCTAAAACATGTACGTACTTTAAGGCATTTAATTCATACAATTTGTATTAGAAAATGACAGTTTTCTCTGATTACAATTGATAAAAATGTAAATATACCAAAAATTATTCGTTACATTTTCTTTTAGAAAAAAAAACGAGCTAAAGATGTGCTTGCCTTTAAACTATCATGAAACTGTAAAAAAACATCGTTCCTTATAACAAAAATAACTAACTCATAAATTATATCAACATTTTTTAAAGTTAATAAAATGACACTATTAAGCCGATTACGACTAAGAGCCAAAAAATTAAAATAAGCCTAGGGTTTGATTCTAAATTACATAGTATATTCATTCATACAAGATACACCATATGTGTAGAAGAATAAACTTTGATATATTTCTCGATTGCGAGTATTTGATTATAATGCGGTCTATCAAAAACTTCACATTAAAAATGATGTAGTTGCACTGTTCAAAAGATGTATTTGCCATGTAAATACTGTAATCTTATTGGCTAAAAAGCACTAACAATTAATTCTTTTGAATTCAAAAAATAATGATGGCAGTTTTATGTAAGCAAAGATATCCAACAATGAAAGCGTTCAAAAGTCATAAATTAGAAAAGAATATTAATGCAGGGATTAGTAACAAAACGGAAATTTCTGTTTTTGAGTGAATGTTTTAACAGTCTGGCCGCACAATGAGTCTTTTTAACAAGACAGAGAGTAACTATGGGAATGGGAGACAGAGCTAGACAGCACAATCAAAAAATTCCTCAAGGGATATTAATATTACGCAATAATATAATTTGGGCAATTACCACTAGATATTAACTCAAGTTTTTTAAAGACTTTAAGTATTGCTCATCCTTTGTACCTGCACTATTCAAAAGTATAATTATACTATATTAAGTATAATTGAAGTCACAACTAACCACACTACTAAAATATTGTTTTTGCAACAGTATACCTTAGGGTCAGTTGTTATTTTCTGATAGAAATTCCATTTTTTCTCGTGACAGTTTTCGTGATCGTGCTGAAGTGATGATGTCAACTGACAGTTTATATTTTGCTTGGTATAATTGTTGAAGTTGAGTCCAATGCAAAATACTTTTTGTAAACATTTAAAAATGCAATCCTCCAATGTCTCAAATCTTTCTTCGTTAAGGATGTGTTTTACCAAAGGACATGTACCTGTTGAAAATTTAGATCCTTTTATTTTAATCCTTTAAATTGAGATCATATTTATTATGTGTTTACAAATTTCACTTATTTAAATATCTAAAAATGATATTTTGCCTATTCAGTGGTGTTTGGGTGAAGTTTGCATATAAGTAATTGTCGGTTTTCTTATTTCTTCACAAGCTAGTAATTTTTGTTTGAGAGGCTTTCATAAATACTTGTTTTGGACGATTTTCACAATTAAATTTTTATATAACAAGTCTTTTTTATAAAGGCAAAGCACTTTAATAAATTAATATAACTTAGGCTGCCTATCAATGATGCTGCGGCAGGATTTTATTTTTGGAAGAGCAAAGCACTCCCAAAATGTTTCTTATAGCTACACATTTTACGCACTGCTTTTTATGACTGACATATACATGTTACAAAACTAAATACCTAAGAATGGGCAGTAAAAATGCTGAAGGAAGTCACCCAATACCGCTTCCTCCCTCATTTTAGTGCCCTAAGTGCCTGTACATACAAAAGCGGGAATGTGTCTAAAAGGCAAGAATTAAACCTAAAGAGTAATGATGAAAAGTAGAGAAAAAAGTTGAGAATTGAATAAATTTAGATACCTAATCGCGAGCTGAAGCTATAGACTCGAAAGAAGAAAATTACATATAAAGAGTCAAAATAAAAAGTTGAAAATCGTTACGCCAAATTTTCTCTTTGATATCTTCTACGACAAAAAAAAGTAAAAATATACTGTAAACATGTCTTTAAAAGTCTAGTACGCATAGAACAACTCGTTAAGCAAAACGTATAAAAATATAAACAACAAGTATAAGCTTTGCAATATAGTACAAAGAAGTTGATAACAAACAGTGAATACATATCTGTTCCAGAGGCTTTAAAAAAGGAAAATGAATACTGTATGTAATCGGTTAAAGCTATTTATCTGAAGTCAACATTGTCAGCGGTGCACATAGTATTATTCTGACAATTGTATATTAAGATGCATAGTAACTCAACATAGCCAGACATAGATTTTTAGTGTCTGGACATATATTTGTTTAAGAGTCACGTTATTAACAACGAAGGATTCCCTTCACTGCAAAAGTGACTATTAAGTTTATCGACTGAGCCTCTGTTAAAATCAGCAGTCCTTCTCAGGACTCAAGTAAGCACGATCTACATCTACGAACTTTTGAATTATATCACCTTACTCAAATAGAAGCTTATCCATAAGTGAAATATGCTAAACGAAATATTGTACACTAGAATAATGACTTCATTTGAAGAAACCACTCAGTGATCAAAACATATGGACCTACTTAGCATTTTATCCTGTGAGACAATAAATGTCAAAGACACAAATCCGCAGGAAAAATTTAATTTTACTTGCTTAGTTTGGTCGAGCATTGTAAGAAGTCGACTTTGACAAGAACAACGGCTTAAATAATTTATGTAACTAAATGTAGCTATAGTTCTACCTTGTAAATAAGCACAACAAATGCTTCAGTCAAGTCTAGTGGTATATATATAGTTAAAACTAAATGCAGTCAGAGCGCTCTTGTCTACTTTAAGAGTTCTTACTTTGCAATATAGTTACCACTTTTAGATACACTTTAAGTTTTTTTACAAATTTCTTCTGAAAAATTTCTGCTTATAATATTGCTGTCGCTAAAAATATATTTGCGTGGAGAGAATGCCATATAAAACATAGAGTAAAGAGAAAAATTTATCATGTCTTAAATCAAATAAATATATCCTTCACACCTCGAGAGTGTCGTCTGTATAAAGCTGTCAATGATTTCCCTTGATATTGATCTTGATCTGCATTCATCCAGCTAGTAAGCATCAACATTTGAAATAAATTTATAAAAAAACTTGCCATTTTTTGAGCACGTGCTATTTGTAAAACTAAATTCGTTGGCTAACACAAATAAACATTCATTTATTTGTTAGACTTTTGGACGAGCTTATAGCTATGGACACTCTAACTGGAAAAATGAGAGGTTAGCTTTATTCATATAAATGCATGCACAGGTTCAGTTTGTATATTTTCATTGTATCGATGTATTAAATATTTAAACCAATTTAATTATCTTCATATAACATTGACATTATCATCACTTTACCAATATATACTTTTATTCTTCTTTTCACATTAAATTATTAAAATTTTAATTTCTTTTGGACAGTAAAATCTATAATTGGCAAACAATTGCTTCTTAAGATATTTGTTTAAAATTGATCATTTATTATTTATAAATGCAAATTCTTTGCAATGAGAACAAACAATAGCATAAACGAGACACAAAAATTTTATGTGGTCTTTGTTTTTGAAAGTAGGTCTTACTTCAATACGTTTTCATATGTTTTGGTTTCTTTATACTAGAACTGCTTCAAATATTTCTGTAAACTATTAAACCGTAAAAGTTAAAGAATATTAGTAATGCATGTTGTTTGTACATTTAACATATGTTGGCAGCAGTCATCTGTCAATGCAAACGTGTATAATCTCGACCTAAAAAGCCACAACTTCTATAATGTTGCTAGGGAAAAAACATTTTTAAAAAATTCAACTGACATATTTAGTTCTACGTTAAACATGTGCATCATGATAATAATAACGAGCAAGATGTTACTTTCAATCTTTTGACTTTTATTTGTAGAGCCATTGCTTTTTTTAACAAACTCTATTTATTTAACTGTTAACTGTGAAACGACAGCGAGAGTACTAACAATATTATTTTCAAAAAGCCTTGTTCTGTTTTAGCAAGCCATAAATGTCATTTATATAAAGTTGTACTCTTATTATTCCACAAGTTTTCGATGACACAAAGGTTTTCATTGTGACAGATGGACTTTTAAAGTCTGCATCAATTTTACTAAGTGGTAGCTAATTATGAAGACGAAAGAAAGCAAATAAAAAAATTATTTATTGCGTATGTACTTTTTTTAACTTTGTTTTGATCAAAAAAGACTTTTACAAATATCATTTGCAAAAAATATGGAAAAGCACTCATAAATAGGAAAGAAGGACATATATGTTGTATAATATTTATGTTTTTGACATGTTCTGTCATTTCTAGTCTCTTGCAAGCAATCTAGATGGCTTACACACTTTTTCACAGTTTAAAAAATTTTCTTCCTCCATTTCACTTCTTAAGACGGAAATAAAATTGATTTAAAAAAAGATGCCATTTAAAAAAGAATATATCGCTTGTTTTTTACAAAACTCGTGCTTAATTTCCTTTGGAAATAAAGTAAACATGGAAAATATTATTCATTTAAAACATGCAGTTTGTTGATGAGACTGAGATGACAAAAAGAATTGCTGGCTACGCTACTGGTAATCGGTCAAATTAACTGAACGACATCTCTTACATATCATTTAAGTCTTTGCTTGAAACTTGAGTTAATTTAACATTCATTTCTAAAATTGTTTTTAGGTCAAGATATCATGTGATTTGTCGTTAATATTTGTGAGAAATCTGAAGGATGAAACTTTAAGTAAAGTAAGCACGTGAGGACAGTCACACTGCAAGCAATCATAGCAAGTGCTCAAAATAAATGCGAAGATAGTTAAATGATTGAACAGTGAGC